CTAATATCTAATATTGGATTTAAATTGGTTCAAATTAAAAGCACATCATGCTCATAATGAGAGTATTTCATTCCGTGCTTTAGAGCTAACCTGGATCTCCAATTTTGCCTGGTTTTCCAGGAGATCCATTTTGACCTGTGTCGCCTTTATAGCCACGTGGTCCAGGTAGTCCAGGAAATCCCTGCTTTCCTATGTTACCATCTTCACCAGGATCGCCAGAAGGCCCAAGAGGACCTTSAAGTCCTTTAGGTCCAGTAGGTCCTTGAATACCAATATCTCCTTTTTGACCAGGGATTCCAGGAACACCATTAAAACCATCAGAACCAGGTCGTCCAGTGTCTCCTTTTACACCGGGTTCACCTGCATTGWAACACAAACTGTGATCTCTGATGAAAAGATCACTTGTTCAGAAATATACAGCTGCATTGACTGACTCTTTTGTTTACAGAGTACATATGGAATATATAAGACACACAAATCAAGAAACTAATCAGTAATTGTTACAGAGTACATTATTATGGAATATATAAGACACACACAAATCAAGAAACTAATCAGTTATTGTTACAGAGTACATTATTATGGAATATATAAGACAAACACAAATCAAGAAACTAATCGGTAATTGAATCATAAATGAGTTGTTAAGACATCTTAAATACCCTTTGGACCACGTTGGCCTGGTTCTCCTATTGATCCAGCTCCATTTGCTCCTGGATCTCCTTGTTTACCTTTTGGTCCAGGGGGTCCAGGCRTGCCTTTCTCACCTAAAATTCACAATTAGGATTTAATGTTTATGTTCAATGTGACGTCATTGTAAATATTCCATTAATCAATAGAAATTAATACTTTTAGAAATAAAAATATAAATAGATTTTCTAGGTATAAAAGGTTGGTTTGCTACCTGGTGGGCCTCTTGATCCAATGAGTCCTATTTTTCCTGGCTGACCAGGTAAGCCATCTCTACCTTTCACACCATTTTCTCCTTTCATTCCAGTATTTCCTTTAAAGCCACGTGGACCTGGTGACCCAGGAGGACCAGTTGGACCATCAGCTCCCTTGTCACCTTTCTTTCCATCTAATCCAGAGYTACCCTGAGGTCCATCACGTCCAGGATCACCACTGTCACCTTGGTCACCTGCAATTCAGAAATTAGGATTGTAATAATAACTAATACTAGCTCATAAAACATATGGTGTTTCAACTGATTATTATCGCCAGAAGTAGTCATTTTTATGCAACTGAGAGTGATTTCCCCAGACTAATTTTGATGTATTTGAAAAGCTCATCTCCTGCTTAGTAATCACCCCAAATTTTATTGCAAACAAAATATGAATAAATTTGATTTTTTGAGCCTTGCCAATTTTTAATTTTGTCTGGCTTTTGTTTGAAGCACCTCTTAAAGTGCAAATGAACTCCTTTTTCCAATGTCTTGAAACTCAGTAGAGAAATAGCACTAACTGACCCAAACGAGGATGTACTTCAATCAATATACATAAATGCTATTTTCAAAGTCTTTTTTTTTTGAAGATATTTTTTTATTTTCAAAAATAGCCACATTTCAAACCCAAYGGCAAAAGGCAATATGTTAATTTCACCAGATTCATGTAGTTCTCCAGGAGTTTTATCAAGCGCCCTTTTCAAGTATTTCAAGGAGTAGCTCAAACCCTGGCATATGGAATACTAAAAGAGCAAGAACTCCTATGAAAACAGTCCAAACCCTTACAGTTTAGTCACAATGGTCAGACTGGGCAACTGAACCAGCTCCCCATTGAGATAATTGATGATCAAAATTCTTTTATTCATGTTGTATAGATGACAAGTGCAATGCAACACAAATATTAGAAGTAGACATGTAATATAAATCCTGATACCAACTTTGAAGATTAAAGTTAAGTAAAACGTTTCAAGTTTTATCTCCCTTGTGTTTTCAGTTTTTGTTTGATCAGTTAACATCAAAATATTTTTTAATGTTACACCTTCTATTGGGATATGCAAAAATGCCTAGTCAAATAAACTTTATTGCACTCATATATCCAAGCACCACAAATATTTATTATACAATGTTTATATTCAAAATACACTTTGTCTCTTTGTCTATTCTTTCATCTCTTATTGAATATTGAAATGTTGAAGAAGTGTATGAAGTCACGAAATTAAGGGATTAATTTACAAAAGTACCTTTTAATCCCACAGGACCAGTATCCCCCTTAGGTCCTTTATCGCCTTTTTGTCCTGCTGGTCCTCTTTGACCAGGTTGCCCAGATTCTCCATTACTTCCAGGTGGACCTTGTTCACCTTTTGAACCTGGTTCYCCTTTATTACCTTGTTGACCTTTAATTCCTGTTTCTCCTTTTTYACCTGTAGGTCCCTTTATGATTTGGGAGGAATCTTTTTTCCAAGATTCACCTTAACAAATATATTTCCCATTAGAAAAATGATTAAAGCTGTTCATACAACCAGTGCTACTTTGATCATAACAGCTATTTGTATTTAAAGATCAGATAATAAATACAATGACAAACAAGCTTAAGAYTGCATGTTAAAGCTATAAAACTCATGTAAATAAACACAACAACAACACTGCACATATCACAGGCATTACAGAATAATGTTACCTTGCTCTCCCTGAATGCCTGGCAATCCCTTTGAGCCCTGATCTCCTTTATTGCCCTTGGGYCCACGCCTACCAGGAGGTCCTACCACATAATCTCCCTTAATGCCCTTATCTCCCTGTTCTCCAGGAAGTCCAGTGACACCTTTCAAACCATCTCTTCCGTCTGTTCCTCTTTCACCCTTTTTCAAAGTAGTTAAAACAATTAAAAGAAAAACAGAACAAAACAGAACAAGCAACAACAGAAACTRATAGGAAAAATGACTTGTTTTTAAGAATACCATTAATAAGTTACTTATTTACAGGTAATGTTCAGGTAAATTATACCTTTGGACCTTGGTCTCCTGGAAACCCATCTTCACCAGGAATACCTTGTGCACCTCTTTCTCCACGTACACCAGGATTTCCTGGGGCACCTTGTAGTCCCTGATCACCTGGATAACCTCTTTGTCCTTTAATTACAAGCGCTGCTCCTTTTTCACCTTTTTGTCCAGGTGTGCCAGTCACACCTGGCCCRCCCTGTGCACCCTAACAAAAACATGACAAATGAAAGTTACTTTCAACAGAACATAAAAATTATCACCAATATTATTATTCATTATTTTTGTAAAATTTACACATTTGACTACATACTGGACTTCCTGGTTTTCCAGGTCTTCCTGGAGTGCCATCAGCACCTTGTGGGCCTTCCGGACCAGGGAAACCTTGAGCACCAATATCACCATCATCTCCAGGCAGACCGGTGGAACCCCTGTCTCCTTTTGCTCCTTTTTCAGGTATGGGACAATTTCCACATTCTTCACCCTTTTCACCTCTCAGACCTGATACACCCGTATCTCCTTGTACACCTGCTTCACCTTTATCCCCTTTCTCTCCTGGTGGYCCATAATCACTTTCTCCTGGTGGTCCAGTAACACCTTGGTTTCCCTTGGGACCTGCCGGTCCTCGTSGTCCTGGTCGGCCATCCATTCCTTTTTTACCAACAGYTGATAAACCTGGTTGACCTTTTTCTCCTCTAGGACCTGCTTCTCCTCTTTCTCCTTTCTTTCCTAGAGGCCCTTTCATGCCATCTCTGCCTGAATATCACAAAGTAGAAGCATTTCATTACTAGAAACTACAAAATGTTCACCAGTTTAGAAACATTTTATACTATTTARCTTTCAGAATTTTCAAGAAAGCAGGAGGCATTGAGTGTAGGTGTCTATAAAATAAATAAATAATTTAATGAATATACAAATGAATGAATGTAAAATACAATTATGAAATTAATTTTAAGATTATACTTCTTTGTGTTTTAGGGAGTAATAATTATTGTAAAATAATACGATCTTACCTGGAAGCCCTGTTTCACCCTGAGGACCAGGAGGGCCGGTAGGTCCTTTGGATCCCTTTGGACCATTTGGCCCTATAGGACCTGTGTTGCCTTTTGGTCCACGTTCACCAGGGTAGCCTCTAAGACCAGGGAAACCAGTGTCTCCTGTTTTACCAATATCACCTTGAGGACCTGGGCGTCCAATTCCAGAAGGGCCCTAAAACAACAAGGAATTTACATTGTCTTTAATCTAAATCTTAGTCTAATTCTATGAGGCTCCTATATTGTGTTCAGAGATACTCCAATAGCTTTGTTCAATTGCTTATTTCAATCCAGGAGCAGGTATGAACGACCAAGGTCTAAAGCTTGGTTAATAAGAGATTTTTAAATGACCATTTTTTGACCATTGGCTAAAAATGATGAATCACACCAACAGTCTAGTTATACCAGCATCTGYCAGGCTCAGCTTTTATGTTCATCATTGGAACATAATTGAAATATAAAAAAGAGAGACTCACCTCACTTCCTTTTTGTCCTTTTGGTCCAGGGGCTCCAGGGGCACCTGCTGTTCCACTTTGTCCATCTACTCCAGGAGGTCCCTGGTCACCCTTTGCACCCCTTTCTCCCTAAAYAATTGTAAAAATTGTAAAAAAAATTGTAAATTGTAGACAAGTAATTGAATGAGCATTTGAATGAGCCATAAAATCCCCCCAAAAAATTAATGAAAATATGGAAATTATTGAGACTAAGGGTATTGCATATTGATCCATTTTGCAATTATTTCCGTAACATTTTTTTTTTGAAATATGAATTCACAACACAAAAAATCACATACTTTCAATCCTTCATCACCAGGCTTGCCTACTCTACCTTTATCACCCTAAAGTGCAAAGTAAATTAACACAAAATAGCATCAATGATTAATTAGTTAAAAATAAATTTGTTGGTTCTGTGATAGCGATTTCTGACTATACTTCTATGTGCAGGGTTTGGTAAGCATARCTTATTTTAGTCACAGCATCAGCATCATATAGTATAGTCATCATATAGTGTTACTGTCTATGTAAATATAATGGTCATCCTAAAGTTGGAATGAGGTGCTTTTGAGGGCAACCTCTTTGTGTCATTAAAAAAWGTATTTGGTCAAATTATATACTTTCTATGATTAAAACTTACCTGTTCACCAGGGTCTCCTTGRCTACCTATTTGTCCAGCCTCGCCTTTTATTCCTTGTTCTCCGTTAGTACCACTGGCACCAGGTTCACCCTTTTCACCTTGTTGACCCGGTGAACCCTTTCATWTAAATATGTACATGAGATATATAAATTGGTAATACTCCCAGCTCCTATTCTACATTATTCACAACTGTCACAAAATTTTCATGGTCAATAGTAATGACGGTATCTAGTTATTTTGGCCAAAAGAGTTTTAACACAGCTTCTTTCGCCTAAGTTTATTACTATTAGCACAATTCTTGACAAAACAAGCAATGATTCATAAATAAAACATTTCACACAACAAATTTTATTTTACCAGACATGTCAGAATTATGCTCGAAAAAATCAAAATTATGCRGAATTTTTTCCCCATATTCTGCAGAGAAAAGGGTAAATAATGCTGAAAATAATGCAGGATGATGTCATCACAGGAAAGTAAACTTTTGGAAATTTTACATATTTTTAGGTTATTGTGTTTGTTTTTCATSCAAAACTCCATTTTTAACTAGGAGATTGCGTTAGCAATCGAAGAATTATTGTAGGTGAACGATCTGTCACTCACTAAGTCACTCACTCACTCACTCACTTTCCTGTAAACTGCATTGTTGCCTTAGTAACTGCTATCTTGACTTATTAATTTTTAATTATTCATCTTCACAGTCTACCTGATCTTTTTTTTCGAAGAGAAAGAAATTCATGTCCTCAATGAGGCTCGAACTCTGGACCTCTCGCTTGAACGGCAAAGACCACTAGACCATGCGCTCATAAGACATTACATCATGACTATTTTACTAGCTTTTATAAGACACCCGATCAATCAGTGGGTTTCCTGTGTCATAATCRATAAAACAGCTAAGGAACGAAATGTTGATTAAGATTCTTTTGCGTAAAATGTACAAATTGAAAGAAGTTTTTAAAACGGTTTCCGCTTCGAGTGTGTGTCGACAGTTAGAAAGAGTCTGTGAAATGGATCCAGGGAAACGCAAGCTTACATGAAGCTTCTCAACCCTAAATTGTTGTTGATAAATGTCTCGGCCGAATTTGGCAATTCATCTTAAAAAATGGTATAACATGGAAAAATCATGAATTATGCGGGATTATGCGCAATTTGGTAAATTATGCGGAAAGGGGTCGATTATGTGCATCCGCATCCGCGCATAATTCCGACATGCCTGTTTTACTAATCAGTTCTTCACCCATCTCCAAAGCATTGTACAAGACGATTTACAAAGAACAACAAAGATTGAAAAGAATAAATTAACAAGCTTAATATTTGGTTTGTTGGTTGTAACTATACCATTTAGTATATCACTTACACTGCTCCCATTATCTCCCTTAGCACCTTTCTACAAATACAAATAATAGTACACATGATGTTCAAATAMGTCAGTAGCAAAATAATATATACTATGATGAAATGCCTTTTCACTTCACAATCAGGAAACAAGGAACTAGTGGAAACACTTGAGTGGAACAGTAAATATACTATATAAATATTAGCTACCTTTTTTCTAAGAAAGAGCTAGAAAGAAAGCAGCAATTTAAAAATTTAAAATAGCTATTTTAGTTTTTACATGAACTCGGTATGAAGTTTGGCTATTTTGAAAGCTATTTTTAGCAATCAAGGATTTGTCATGCAAAGACCCAGTGTGTTACATTGTTTAGCGATTTTCTTGCGAAAAGATAAATATTTTCAAAAACAAATTACACAGCGATTGTAACCTAATCATACCTTATCAACATACAAAATATGAATAGATTTGATTTTTCGAGCCTTGCCAAAAATTTTCAGTTTTGTCTGGTTTTTGTGCGAGGCGGCTCTTAATTCATAAAATTTTTAATAAAGTAAAGAATTTGKAAAAAATAAAAAACGACATACCAAAGCCAATGTTACATTGCAACCTGAACCATATCCAATTGCAGATGAACCYTTTTGACCTGGTTCTCCTTTCTTTCCAGCTTTACCTTTAGGACCCTTGGATATAATTCCCATGGTGCCCTGTRCAGTGAGAAGTATGATAGCAAAAAAAATCAGATTTTTCTGCCAAAGATATAGTTTGCATATTCAATGATGATGGGCTAGTATAGTTGTAAAACAAATCTTATTTAAGTATACACTTCAACCCTTCAGATGGTTTTTTTATACCTTTAATCCAGGTGGCCCTGTGTCACCTTTAGGCCCAATAGGTCCCAGGGTTCCYTTTTGTCCATCTCTTCCAGGATAACCTTGATCTCCTCTATATCCCTATAAATGCAATAGATAATAGTTGTTATAGACTAGCAATATACCCAAGCAATTTAAAACTTATCAACATACCTGAGGTCCTTCTGGTCCAATTGGTCCAGGTTCTCCCTATTTGAAATTAAGTAATTATTAAGAATACTTGAGGCTACAATAAAAAGCCACACACTCTACTTACCTTAAATCCTTTACTAGTTGGTGGTGAAAATCCTGGATCTCCTTTAATTCCTGGAGCACCAGGGGCACCCTAAAGTTTTAAAAACAATTACCAAAATCATATAGGAAAAACACCTAAAAAAATACTTTTAAACAATAATTAACAATTATGATTTTCATTAGCAAATGAGTTTTTGATGTAATTTTTACAACAATTTGATTAATAGRATATACTTTGAAAATAGAAGAGCGACATAATTTTGAATTGCACARAATGATGTTTTCTATGTGTCAATTCAAGATGAAGTTCATAACCATGCCATATGTTGCATGCTACTAATCAGCTGAAAAACATGCTCTATTAAAACTCACTGGTGCTCCATCAGCTCCTGGTCGTCCTGAAGGACCAAAAGGTCCAGTTTCTCCCTGAGTTACAAATTAAACTAAGTTAATACACTAAAGATATCTAAATTTATAGCTGCAAATTTTGTACCTTTGTGCCATTGCACCCAGGCTCACCAGGTTCACCACGAGGTCCTTCATTTCCAGGATTACCCTATCAGGAAGCCAAAAGCAGTTAAAGAATACTCCCATTTCSAGTTCTGRTTTGCTCTGTGTTAGCCTCAAAACCAAGTAACATATTCTTTTGTTTCATTGATAGCTCGAAAAAACGCATGGAATTTGTGAAGAAAGACAATAAATTTGATTTGAAATCTCACACTTCTACACTCACAATAAGGAATATTTTGCGCACAAATGAGGCTAACACAGAGCATTGGAGAATTCGAAACTGGAGTATAAGGTATATATTTTTAGAAGTGGAACCAAAGATGTTTTTGCATGTTATCCCACAAAGTTGTGTTAAAGGTAAGCATATTTTGTATTGCATTCCCATGCTCCCTTGTGTTTTAAAAGGTGTACTTGGGAGTACTTGGGTAATAAAACTGTGGCAATGATTATGAAATGGTACATACAAAACTGTACTTACAGGTATTCCAGGTGTTCCTGGATAGCCTGGCCTGCCCATTTTTCCCTAGAAGAAAATGAAAAWTTCTTATACTAGACAGTATTGAACAAACACATGATGAGTAGAATGCAATACATACCCTTGGTCCTTTATTGCCCAAGGCTCCAGCTCCTCCTTTTTCTCCCTTAACAAATTAAAAGTTGACATTTGAAATAAAAGTTCAACTTAACTATATAAGCTTATAACTTAAAGGTCATAGAGCTTAAAGTGTAGATTTTCTTGGATGACAACATGCCTTCTCATATGAGATAAAATAGCTTTTCGCACACTGTATAAAAAATATGACAAATTATGCAAAGATCTAGTATTCAAAAGCATGGTTCTTATTGGTTACTCTTGACTGTGTAGCCGAGCCTTCATACTATTCAAATCAACATGGCGGGCTTTTTTGCGATGTTTGGCCTGGAGGCAATCTTTTCAAACTTCCTTACTACCACAAGGAAAATACTACTAAACTAAGACAKATATCAACCTACCTTTATTCCTCTAGTACCGGGTAGACCTTCCATTCCTTGGTAGCCCTTGAAATAACCATGAAAGGTGAGCAAAATACAAATATTTYGAAAATATAGAGCTTTTAAAACAGCTTTTAAAACAGCTGTTTTTTATGTGCAAGCGACATGCATCAGGTAACTTACTGGATATCCTTGAGGACCTCGTAAACCAGGAAAACCTTGTGCACCCTACGAAGACAATAGTTGACATCAATAAATGGTTTATGGTTTATGATAAAATATTTACAAARGTTACTCACTCGGTTTCCCTTCTCTCCGATACATCGTGGGACGCAAGCTTGACAACCTACACACTATACAATAGAAAGTAATGAGACTTGTTTATTGAAAGTTACTAGAGTGCAAACACTTAAAACATAAAAGACTAAGTAATTAAATTTGGCTTTATTATGCCTGAATTATGCGATTCCTTTGTAGTCTATTGTCTAGATCTACATTGCGCCATTTAGCAATGACGCTAAACTTGCCCAAAACCAAACCTAACCAGAGCTAGTAGAGAGGAACATGTGTCTGCAAATAAATGCTGAAAACTAATAAGAGACATTGGATATGCTATATGGTAATTATGATGTTGATAGAACCACATAAAATGTTTTTAAGCTTACATTTCTTTAAGATATAAGATTGAGAGAATGAATAAATAAAGCTATCGGGTTCACGATTGGGCTTCTAAAAGGATCATATTACCATCTCAAATTTTGATTGAAGAATGAGCACTRTTTCATGTAATTCTTGCTTTCTTTCAATGTTCATTTTCTCACATTTTTTTTCTTTTTCAATTAAGAGTTCTATTTTACAGTACATTTTATGTTGCTATGTGCGAAAGCATATGAAATTGCATAATATTCAAATGCACACTTTCAATTTTCAAAATTTAATTATGAAAAAATACCATATTTCATTTTGTCATATCGTTGCCAAATTTCTCTTGGCACATAAAGCTCTGTTTAGGAAGTGGTGGGAGAGTTTGCAGAGCAKGCTGCCAAATTATTTGGATGTCATTACTACGCCTGTCTACCCGCAAACTGTTTCTTTCGTGCGGCCTAGTTGAAGACTTGGAATGTATATCAATCCTCTTTTAGGATTTTGGCCAGTTGCACTGGTGACGTAAACACACGATCACTTTTCTCTGAACTTGAACTTTTCCATACGACTTTCTTGAACCCTTTTGAACGCATCATTTACGTCAGCTTTTTTCCGTCACGTAGGTTAGGAAGAAATGCTTATTATTTATCGATAAAAAAAGATAAAACCAATGCGTTATTACAATGTTTGAACTGGGAAGTCAATGCCATATCAATTCAAATATGTATTCAATCTGCCTTGGATTGTCACAAGAGCGACGTTTTTTTCGCCCTTCATGCTATCAGTAATATTCTCACGCCGAAAATCCCTTCACGAACTTAATCTCAACGAATTATACTTGTCTTTAATCGGAGTATTACTGATACTTTACGCTTTTTTGGTGATCGTCTCTCCACACCGGTTATGTCGGCATTGATAAACTGAACTCTTCTCCGAACACGAGTGGCCACGCGTCAAGCGTGCATGCCCTCGCGCGAGAAGTGCTAGTAAGTTTTAATGATGTTACTATTTTATCGGAAGTATTTACTTATATTTGAAATGCAGGAAATCCCTCATGGTTTACTCTCTGAATGTTGTTGCAAATATATTGTATAATCCTTTGATGCATACTATAGTCCGATTAAAAGGGAATAAGTTACTATAGTGCTCTCTATACTCAACGMAAGAACGTCAGGGAAAATACGAATTACTTCATCAGATATATATGCACTTATATATTTCTCCTCAGTAGTTACTATATGACAATATTCGGATCTGATTTAATTTAACGATTATGACCATGTATTAATGCCTGTTGAATTATGGTATAGCTTCCCCCACCCACATGTTGTAGCTACCTATGGAGAGCGACATGCTAATATTATTGATAAACTTGAAAAAAAAATACTCGAAGCCCTCCCTGTGGATTATCAGAGTGCTGGTTGTTCAGCTCTACATCGCTTATAAATCCTTATTACTCAACGGTAAATACTAAAAAAGTGTAACAACCAAGATTATTTTATGTGGATCATTTTGAATACTGTATATGTTAATATTAATTTCAAATTAAAAGGGAGATTATTTTACAGTAATACTTTTTTATTAAGAATGTTTAGGATGTAAAATGTCGTAACATCAATGAGACGACATTCATCGTGTATCGCGTGGACATCTCGTGTAGTGAGCCAGTCCCACGTTCACATACTTYTATCTAGTTTACTTGTTAAGTTTGAGAACCGCTTTTAAGTACAACGCACGCACACTTACCGATGAATACACTGTCTCTGTTGTGTAGATAAGCGCTAGGCCAAGCGCCGARATAATTCCAAATATACTGTGAATCCTGATAGACGAAATCATAGCTTTGTTGAACTACTTTAATATGTTAAACAATCAGGAAAAATAGAGTTTTATCACTTACCGCATTATAGGTATTCTCGAAATGATCATTAGCTGCTTTAACAATTCTCTATCTTTGCATTATTTACTGTATAGACAAGAATTGTTGAACGCCTGGCTTGAGCAGAGGTCTAGCGGCTGAATAAGTACAGCTAAAGAGTGTGGCTATAGTTTCACTAACGGATAGTGTTACTGGTGACAGGGTCATGCTATATGACAAAATAGGCCATAGGTGTCCTTGGAATGTGAATTCTCTTCACCGGATGTATCACAATCTGAATGCCATATTAATCTAATTACCTAAGGGCCTTGCCCTAAACCACACAGATTTCTCTTAGGAAATCTCCCTTAGGTTTATATGAAGGAACCTTTGTATTTTACGTAGTCTTGTTTGAATCCATTGTATTGCCGAGGAAACCATTCAATTGTAAGGAAATCAATTAATTGCTTCAGGACGGACAACCGATAGCGCCTTTTAAACCCTGGAAACATAAGTTTACGGTCTGTCAGGGTTAAAATGGGCACCCCGAGATTGGTCATTTTAAAACTAGAGAATTGTTGAAAATCTTTTTATATGATCTTGAGTCAAGTAACGCACAGTTTAGTATTAACACTATATGCACATTGTCAATCATTTGTTATTGTGCGACAAATTGGATACATTTACCATGACCCTACAAACTTGAGTAGACAACCAACAAAATTGCTAAAACAAACGCAAATCCCTGTCAAAGCAAAAACAATTTCGCCATTTCGCCATTTCTTTATCGGAATTTCTGGAAAAAGGCWCATCAGCTTTAGACTTATTTTTTAGAACCTGTATCAAAAACAACTCGGTATTTCGTGATTGCAATCGACGAGAGAGATTCGTGCGGTGTTCACGTCATATCGGAGGTCAAAGACGGATATTGTTCGCATTTTTTTGTTGATTTCAAGGATTCGAGAAAATCACGAATGTCAACATGCGATTTTTCACCCACCTAAGTATTTGTTGTGAGAAGCAATATTTTTAATATAGTACACAGATAACGAACAGTTCGTGGAGTGTGTGGTCTATAGCTTGAGCCGGCTTTGTTTGTTTAGAGAAGACTTGACAAAGGTTCCCGCCAAAATCGACGTTTCCAGCCATCGTGTGTTTCCCTAGAACATTATTAACCACAGATCGCATGCTTTTATTTTTTCCTTAATTTAATGATCTCGCACTTATTCTGGAACTTATATAAATGTAGTGTCTGACTAGACCGAAACAGCGTACTTGAGAAGAAGTAGAAATTTTGACCATATTTGAAATGAACGGGAAAGTAWATCCAGCTGCGGGTTCAACCAGGGTGAAAACCTTTTCGCTTTTGCAAAACTTCAAAAATGTAGCAATCTGTTATCACAGTGAGTAGCAGGTAATTCAGTCGATAATCAGTCGATTTAAAGTCCCCTCCTATAAAACTCGCCCAAACGCCAGTATCCCACAAAAATTCGAAAATCATATAGGTTGTCTAGTCGATGGGGCAACCGGAAACAACTTTGATCATACACCCACGACACGGTTAACCAGAAAAGAGTTTCCCGCGAAAAATATTTTACCTTTATTGAGTGTCTTATGTTAGCATCGGAATCAAGGAAGGACGTTGTTGGACGAATGGCCATCAAATCAGAGTTGATGGTAATTTGAACTTTTGAATTCTGTGGTTTCCTTTGATCAAATCCCACCCCTGGTCAAAATGTGTGATTTGATATGAAGAGTGTCACGGTGTCAAGCCACAAGAATACTTCAAGCCATTGAACCTACAGTGTCGGATTGCATGACAGCTGAGTGTTTGAGCTCACTGACGTCCCGATTGAATTCATCCCTCGCCTAAATTGCTTACATTGTCGCCTTGCGTTTCGCTTGGACTGTAAATGCATGATTTAAACTGAGGGAATATATTTATATATCAATGAAGACTAGGTAAGGCATGCTCATTTCTCAGATAACTAGAGGGAGTTCTTCAAACCATATAATGTTCGTTTCGCGACCCGTTCTAACATTCTATTTGCCAAACAGGACGGTGATTCACTGCCTTCTTGGCCTTCAATTATTTTGTCTCTTTTCAATACAGGTAAGTGCAATCTCTTTTGAATAGCTTGACAAATTTACTTGGACCTAAATCCAACGGCATCGCTACTACAGTTCAGTAAACTTGGACTTTAAGAGTATTGGCCACGTGTCGCGCGCGCGCGTCGTTTCGAGTAATTTGGTCCCTGATGTTCTCAAGGAACCTTCTTGACTTTCAAGCATTTTAGACAAATTTGCATTTATGAACAAATTGTATAGGTCTTTTAGGTCTTTTTAAATATTCCATTTATACTTTTTATATTAATAAAAAGCCTGTTTCTATACCAAATTGCAATACTATGTTGAACATTTTTGTTTAAGTAAAACAAATATAAAATCACACAAGACAGTCATATTGACTGTATACTTTCCTATGTCTTCTCTGCATTTTGTTTTACGGACTTATGGACAAAACTACAAATATTCTTTATCACTATGACAAGGTTTTTTCTATTATGTGTATTTTAACTTGAGCATGATTTATACATATAATGTATGTTAACTTACCTGAAATATGTTACAAAAAACTATTTTGTTTTATTAGGTTTGCCTTGGACAAGAATTAGTGGTAAGATACTTGTGACATTATTCATTTTTTTCTAAAACAACTGGAAGTATATTCTAGGTGTGAAACTATTCAAATTATGCAATCTGATGTCCATCAGATATCATTCATTCTATTGGAAAATATTTTTGTTAGCATATTATGATTCATTTTGAGTTGCTATTTGTATTCATTTTCAGTCAATCCCATTAATGTAGTTCAGTTGCAAAGACGTAAAGAACACAACAAAGTCATTTACATATATCATACTTTTAATTTCTTTGCAAGAATATTCATCATAAAATTCCAAAACTTTTTTACAATGCCAATAAAATTTAATTTGCTATTTATCTAAAGTTTTCAAAACCATTTATACAAATAACTTTGCTGTTGTCTTTATGTCTTTACAACTGAACAAGGTTAATGTGATTGAGTATATCACAATTTATACAGATACCAAATTAAAAACAATCATATCAAAAGACAATAATACTGAAACAATTAATAGCAAATAAAGCTAAAATTTAACTAGAAAGTACTAAAAAAAAACTTAAAACAAAAATGTGAAAGAAGCACAATGAAGAGAGGCTCCAATTTAAGTGCATTCAAAAAAAGAAAGAAAATACAATGCTATAGAGAATGAGATATTACAGCTAACTGAGATACRGATTTTATCTTTATGTTTTGAGAAGACTATCACAAGTGAGTGTGAAAGATTCTCAACTAGAAAGATGAAATGCATATCTCATGTGGCTATATGTAACAAAATTATTGTGTTTCTGTATTTCATGGATAATTATTTAATAGATAATATATAATAATAAATAGATAATATATAATTATTAATTGATCTAGTCTGAAATGTTTTCAATCATAACCACCAGTTATTAAACCAAATAATAACTACATATTGTATACATGATGGGATGGCAATAGTATCAACATTTTGAGCTGGATTATCAGGGTCACTCATGTTACAGTCTGTGTGATAGGTGTGTTCAAAAATATTTTAGTTTGATGTGGATATTGTTTTCAAGGCCTGTTGTTTAGACTTSATGAAATTTCCATTCCTAGTGAGATTTAATAATTAATGTTAACTKAAAAAAGCATAGTGTAAAAGGATAGGGGAGATTGGACACTTATTGACAAAATTTTCAAGAGGTGTGTACATTGAAAGGCTTTAGACAAGAGGAGGGTTGGGGGGGATTTCTCATCACCATGGTGACATCATTACCTTGACAGCYAATTTGCAAAACATTTTGATTAACTTTGTGTTAACCTCCAAGCCATGCAAAATGATTCATTTCCATGAACCAACATATGACCCTTGGAAGACTTAAAATCTATTTAGCCCTATTTAATAAGTGTAATGCCTACGCCCTGTCTGGGTTGGTCTTTATCTTATACTCACAGCCTGGGTTAGTTGTGGACAATGTGTCATATATATGTATATTAATATGAAACTAAAACATGCACCATTTTAAAGGGCAACTTATTTCCTTAAGCGAAACTCTAATCTAAATAAACAAATGGCTGTTCTATCAAAAATACAAGTTTAATCTTTTGACYCTCAGCAGTATTTCAGGAAAAGGTGTGATTTCCTTTTACTTGACTAGAATAGTTGATGTTATACAGTGTCTAGACGGGATTGTTCSATCAAGTATGTCTTTCTTCTCAAGAATTTTTTAATAAGGCTAAATCAAAAAAGCAGGTCTTCAGAAACTTTATTTGATTGTTCTTACATCACAACCTGAGTTGTGAAGAACAGATTTTCTTTTTTTGCACAGGGTTTCTGGGGTTCTTCATAAAAACCTCAAAAAATCCTTAAACAGAGTTTGTGGTTATTATTATTGTGTTTCACAAAAGTATGATGTGATAAATTGGTCCTATTTTGTTCAAAAAAATGAAATTATTGACCATTCAAAAATTTGATGTTAACGTGATTCACAGTGTTTGGTGATTGAAAGAGCGGATTTCGTATGAGTGGGAAATGGACGGTACTGTACAGTGACCGTAATCATACTGTAACCAAATTCTAATGCCCCATTGGTTCACCAAAATTTTGAAGGCCCAGGTTCGGTAACTGTGTGGTAACCTTGCAGTAACGGTGTCCCACTCATACGAAATCAGCTCTAGTATCTGAAGCTGAGCATCATCATAGTATGTAAAACCAAAATTTAAGGTTTTTTTACTACAATGTGTTTTGATCTTGAAATACTCCAATATCATTATGATCATTTTTCAGTGGGTGGGGAGGGGGGTACTTGGATTGGGACATGGAAAACATAAAAAAGTACACCCCTTTCAAAACAACTCAATATYAATTTTACATCCCATTCAAGAAGCCAAAGACCATACATTATTTTGTGCAATATCCGTGTTATTTGTATTTTTTGACATAAAACACATCATAGCCTACAAGTCTCAAGTCAAAAATGTTGCTTTAAAATCCATTGATATTGCTCTTGTTCAGATATTTTCAAGGATTAAATTTCAAACTATCTTTTYTTCAGATTCAAAGTTGTTCTGGTGCTGGCTGCCCACCACAAACTGAAGATGAATGCAACTGCCTGAAAGGAGTAAAAGGATCCAGGGTACATTTAGTATTATGATGACCTATATTGTTGTGATTTGAAATGTGCCTTGGTTTGAAATCTATTAAACTGGTTTT